GTGACTAGATGTCCTGATTTTATAGGGACAGTCCCAATTTTTTTTTTCTTATATAGGCTCCTATTACCTACCACCCCCATCCCGATTTTTCACATTTGCTGTCTGGTCACCCTAACCCCTTTCAGGAGTCTGATTTGTCTTGCGTACCCTAAGTTTCACCTCACTTAAAAACTACTTGCTTACAAAATCAGATATAAAAATACAAAAGTGTCATAGCAGGCTATTACTGAAAAATTGCTTAATTTCTCATGTTTACAGTATAATTATAAAATAAATTAATTGGAATATAAATATTGTACTTATATTTCAGTGTAACGTATATAGATTAGTATAAATAAGCTATTGTATGAAATTTTAGTTTGTACTCACTTCACTAATGCTTTTTATGTAGCCTGTTGTAAAACTAGGTAAATATTTAGGTGAGTTGATGTACCCTTTGGAAGACCTCTGTGTAGCCCCAGGAGTATTTGTACCCCTGGTTGAGAGCCACTGCTATAAGGGGTCTGATAAATTAAAAAGGATAACAGATTTTTTTGTATGTTAATTAAAAGTAATTCCTATTGATTTATTTTTAATACTTTTAAATATTTCTAGCGCTCTTTCAACATAATGATAGAATAATTTTTCCATAAATATATAAATTCAGTATTTATTGTTCACTAGAACTCTTCAGTGTTTGAGAAAACCTAGGAATAGCAATCACAAATACTCATCTTTCACCTGCAGTTGCTTTGAATCTGTTCCCAGAGTGCAGATCAGAATTCTGTTAGATTTTTCTTGGCTCCCAATCCAAATAAGAGCAAGTATCTTTTCAGACACACAAATGAGACTACTGCGCTGGACTTTCAAGGTGATGAAGATGCAAATAAGCCTGGGAGTGAGAGGCTTTCACTCAAATTATGATGGCATATTGTTCCATTATGAGGGTAACATAGAAAGTGTGTTGATATTTTACAGCAAATGACTGCCGTCTACAACAGGGGTGGGAAAACTTTTTGGCCTGAGGGCCACATCAGGGTTGCGCAACTGTATGGAGGGCCGGGTAGGGAAGGCTGTGCTTCCCCAAACAGCCTGGCCCCCGCCCCCTCCCACTTCCCGCCCCTTGGCTGCCCCCCTCAGAATCCCCAACCCCCCTGTCCCCTGACTGTCCCAACTCCTATCCATACCCCCACCCCCTGACAGCCCCCTGGGACTCCCACCCCCTATCCAACCGCCCTCTGCTCCTCGTCACCTGACCACCCCCTCCCAGGATCCTCCGCCCCAACTGTCCCCTGGGATCCCACCCTCTTATCCAACCCCCCTGTTCCCTGTCCCCTGACTGCCATCTCGACCCCTATCCACACCCCCACCCTCTGACAGCCCCCCGGGACTCCCACTCCCAACCCTCTCTGTTCCCCATCCCCTGACCGTCACCGTTCCCCAGAACCTCCGCCACATCCAACCGCCCTCTCCTCCCTGACTGCCCCGCAGGACCTCTGCTCCCTTACCCAACCCTCCCACCCCCCACCCCCTTATCAGCAGCAGGAGCTCACAGCCGTGACACTCAGCCAGAGCCAGTTGCGCTCCCCACGCTGCCCAGCGGGAGCAGTGGGCCAGAGTGCGGCCCACACGGCAGTGTGGCTGTGGGGAAGGGGACTAGGCTCCCTGGCCGGGAGCTCAGGGGCCAGGGAGGACAGTCCCGCGGGCCGTAGTTTGCCCACGTCTGGTCTACAACAAGACAATCGGATCTTGAGGCAGTTTCAGTGAAAGTTATGTTTTTCAGTGTTTAATTAAAGCAACCAAAAAGGCTTATTTAAAATAAGATAATGACTGTCAAGGTTGAAACTTTTATGTATAAGTGAAGCTACATGTTTGTTTCTGTCATTGCCTTTAAAAGTGCATTAAAGAGCCAGTCATACAAACACTAGTGCTGTTTGACTGTAGAATGTACTACCATGAGTAGTTCTTATTTCATCTATGGGACTGATCTAATAAGAAGCATTGCATTTGGACAAAGCGTTCACAGAAATGTAGAGACAAGGACCGCAGAAGTTTGATGCAATTGCAGACCTTTTTTGTCATAAAATAAACTTGATTTTTCTAAATAAATCAAAGGTTTTCAGCATATTAATTCTTACTAGAAATATTTTGCATCATTTTTCATAATAAAGGTTCTATTTCAATTCTTAGTTTTTATTTAAATGCTGCAGTTATAGATAAACTACACCTACCTATTTAAAAACTTGCTCAATAAGATAAGTCCCTCACAGAGAAGTTTTCATGACAATATCCGTTTTATTAATCCAGCTGTAGGAATAGGGTTTAAGAGGGCAAATGCTTTTCACCAGGCATAATAGTGCAGTGAATACAGAATTATTATGCTGCTCTCTCTTGGGTAGGAAGTTGTCAATTTCTCCCCTTTCCTATGGACTGTTCTCTTTACTCTGATTAGGTTAAGAGAAGAAACTGTGACTACAAATCTTAATAGGTTTCTGTACGAGAGATGTGGGAATTTGTCTTGTGATGACATTCTTGTTCCCTTGTTTGCATTTTTAATGACTAGTTTTTCTTATCTTAGGGCAGGTCTACACTTAAAACGTTGCATTGGTGTAGCTGTGCCGCTGTAGCGCTTAGAGTGAAAACAGTCCTATGCCAATCAGCGTAGTTAATTCACCTCTCCGAGGGGCAATAGCTATGTCGATGGGAGAAGCTCTCCTGTTGACGTAGCACTGCCAACACAGGAGGTTAAGATCGGTATAACTACATGCTCATTGGGTTATACGACATAGTTATACCGACATAGGTCTGTAGTGTACACTTGGCCTTAGTGTAACAAGAATCTTAGTATAATATATCAGAATGCTACTTTCCTGCCCTTAATTGTGAAAGAGGTATAGTAATACTAGATCACATCTTACTTGAAAAATTTGCTCTACAAGCTGACCAGGTAAAGTAGTCCAGATGTGACTAACAGTATCTAGTGGATCCTCTTTGTTCTATGCTCTAGATCAGGCTAATCTCAAATTTAAGGTCATTTTAGAGAAGATTAGAAATTAAAACTATCCTAATTGTAGTTGAATATACTCCAGGGTGCATGAACTCAAGGAACAGAAGGTTGCTTGTAGTCTCATTGATATTGCAGTGCAGTAAGTTTTATCAGCGACCCTTTATATATCATCCACTAGGTCAGTGGTTCTCAACTAGGGGTATGCAGAGGTCTTCCAGGGGGTACTCAACTCATCTAGATATTTGCCTAGTTTTACAACATGCTACATAAAAAGCACTAGCGAAGTCAGTACAAACTAAAATTTCATACCGACAATGACTTGTTTATACTGTTCTATATACTATACACTGAAATGTAAGTACAATATTTATATTCCAGTTGGTTTATTGTATAATTATATAGTAGAAATGAGAATAAGCAATTTTTCAGTACTACTGTGCTGTGTCACTTTTGTATTTTTGTCTGATTTTGTAAGTAAGTAGTTTTTAAGTGAGGTGAAAGTTGGGGCTACACAAGACAGATTGGACTCCTGAAAGGGGTGCAGTTGTCTGGAAAGGTTGAGAACCACTGCAGTAGATAACTAGTCAGAATACTTGCTACCACTGGCTTTGGGATAGCCGAAGTCTCTAGAAAATCCTTAGCATATAGCTGTTTTGAGGAGTAGACTAGAGACACAAAAGATTGTTTTCAGAGTAGCAGCCGTGTTAGTCTGTATCCGCAAAAAGAACAGGAGTACTTGTGGCACCTTAGAGACTAACAAATTTATTAGAGCATAAGCTTTTGTGGACTACAGCCCACTTCTTCAGATGCATACAGTGTTAATGCTCCATTCAGATGAATGGAGGAGTGCTGAATGGGGTGCTGTGGGGCACTTGTCAGTATTTTCATCAGTGACTGGGATGATGATGATATGCCGAGTATGATAGTCAGTCTTGCAGATAGTGCTAAGCTGAGGGGATGAGGTTTAAATGCAGTACAGTCTTCAGAAATAAAACAAATGGGCTGAAATCAGTACACTGAGATTCTGTAAAGGTAAGATAAAGAAGTGCACATAAAGAAGGGATATTCAAATGCGCAAATATAGAATGAAGAAATAATGGGAAGGTAGTAGTACAGTGCCAGAGAGAGGAAGATCAAGGTGTTATAATGTGTGATAAATCAAGAGAGCTAGCAATGTGACGCTTTTGCAAAAAAAACCCCACCCCGGCTGTGATAGTCCTGTTGCTAAAGCGCAATATAACATGCAGAGTAACTACCCTGGTGTACTCCATATTGGTTAAACCTCAATTGGAGTACTGTGTTCACATTTGGGCACTATACTTTAAAGGATGATGTTCAGAGGATAGCAACAAAAATTATTAAGCTATACAAATATGTAAAGGAACATTAAAATTAGCACAGGGATTAATTATTTTGGGGAGTTAGTCTCAGCAAACAAATACTAGGCTTAAACTGCAGTAAAGAAATTCTAGGTTAGAGATGATGTTTTAAAATTAATTTGGGGGTTAATCTGTAGAATTTACCTTACAACTTCAAGGATATCAGATTTTTCTATGTTTTCTAGTGGGAAAGTAGAGTCTCACAGTCCAACTTGATATAATGAAACAGGCCCCCCTGCTGTGAAATAATAATTTTCACAGCAGCTTCATTCTTTGAATAGAAATGAAATAGTGAAAGGGTATTTCTAAAAACTGTTTAGAGATTATTTTTTTAAATGTGCATGATGTATCTATTTTAGGTACTTATATGGCTCCCATGACTTTAGTATATGAGTGTCTTTAATATCTTTATCCTCACAACATCCCTGTGAGGTAAATTTTATTTCCGTTTTACAGACGGGGAAATTGAGGCTTGGAGACACTAAGTGACTTTTCCAACGTCACACAGGAAGTTTGTGGCAGACTAGGGAATTGAGCCCAGGTCTTCCAAGTCCCAGGTTAGAGCCCTAACTGCTGTATCATTTTCTCTCTGTTCCAGTCTTTTAACTCAGAATGCCCTTTCTGCCTTAACACACCTTGTCTTGGACACTATTGCAAATTATAGTTGTAAGTTCCAGCTTCTTATTTACGATCAACACTAAACATTTACTACTGTGGTTCTCTGGGTAACACGCTCCTTACAGCAGTATGTTTCCCAAAATGGAGACTGAAAACCTTATTCATCATGTAAGCAGGCTTTTTCATGATGACTGTATCTTTGGCGGCTGCGGCAGAGTGGAGGGATATTGTGACTTACACTGGTGTGAGGTCTGGAATTTGCTAGTTTAAGACCTGGGCCAGCATCAAAATAGCAAAGCTGGTCTAAAAGACCAGTGATATTTATCCTGTCCAACATCTTGTAAAGCTTTATAGTTAGTAGCAGAAAGCATGATGTCTCCATTCACTGTTTTGGTCATCAGCTCCTTTGTGTTTATATTTCCAGGATTTATACCTCTCTCTTTATGCAGCTTGAGTAGCTGATGTTTCTTTAGCCCTTTCTAAGCCCACAAGATCTTAAGAAACAAGAAAACTTCTGCCCTCCTTGTTCCGGTGGCAGTTAAAATGCGATGTGTGTAGGATTTCTTTTTCTTAAATGCTACTGAACATTCTGAAACTGCCGTAGATCTGTCCAGGTGCTTAATCAAATGCCTATTGTCGTCAATGAGCTTTGGATCAGGCCCTTAGGTTTTGGTTTTTTTTATGTCCAGTCTCCTGCTACTAGACATGGTTTACCCTGATCCAATGCATCCTTACATTAGAGAGGTAGCCCAGCACTGACTTCACCTTTCTTTGTTAGCTTCTTCCTGAACAAAGCAAGGTGGAAATGCCCTTAACAGATGGTGATGTGGTTAGTGCTTTAAACAATGCCAAATGCCATACATTGATTCTTTCTGCAAAATAACTTCTAATGCAAGGTAAACTCATGCAGAAATTATATAGATTTCAAACAAAAACTGTTACCATCTGCTCTGAGAAATAGTGTACCACAAACAAAGCTCTTTGTTACTTAGGACAGAAAATATTCATATCTCTATGTTTGAGAAACCATGGGGCTCATTCTCCTTTCACTTACACTGATGTAACTCCATTGTCTAGTGGAGTTACTGCTTATTTACACTGTGTAAATGAGAGGAGAATCGGGCTCTGTGTCTCTTAAACAACCGTATCTCCTCGTTGCCTTTTAGATACAGCCCTGTCTGCTGCTGTCAGAACAGAGTCTCCAGACCTGATTTTCAGCCTCACAGACAAACCAGGCCTGCCTTTGAAGCTGGCTGATTTCTACCTCCCCCTACTCCTCAGGGAAAAGTTCACTTTACATATTCATATCCTTGCTCAACTGCTTCCTTCAGAAATATACAACTCCAATTAAACCTCCACCCAAAACCAGATGCTTCAAATCAAAGAAATAAAACTCTGGCCTCTGATGTATTGGCTAAGAAGAGTTGATTTTTCATAAAGCTGTTAGCTATAGCTCCATATAAACTACAAAAATACCCACATGAACACAGTTTTGTGAACCATGGGTATGACCCAGTGATGTTATATTGACTCCAAGAGCTGTTGCAGCTGTAAGAAGAATATCATGTGACTCATGATAAAATCATGGGAGTTTGCAGCACGGTTGTTTGAACCTTGATAGGTACCGAAGCTAAATTAGTGTTCCTTAACGTGGTTATAATGTTTTTCTGCCCAGAAAAATTGTTTTTATGACAGACTTTTAAAGAAAACCTCAAACTGTTGTCCTACCATCGGTGCAGCTCTGCTAGTGCTAGCAATGATGGGAATGCTAGTGTAGCCAGAACAACTTTTTCTAGGGTGACCAGACAGCAAATGTGAAAAATTGGGCCAGGGGATGGGGGGTAATAGGAGCCTATATAAGAAAAAGACCCAAAAATCGGAACTGTCACTATAAAATCGGGACATCTGGTCACCCTAACTTTTTCCTATGTGTCATCTGATCTTGCTTCCAGCAAGTTGAAATCAAAGTGTTAAAAATACCTATGTCCAGTCTGTACTACTGCTTCCATGTTGCTGGCACTAGAGAAGCACCTAGGGGCTAGACCAAATGTGGCTGAACTGCTAAAAATTCTCAGTGTAAACTAGGGCAATGAGTTCCCCTCCTGTTGATCAACTAGAACACTTTAGTCTTAACAGAAGCAAACAGAAAACATTAAAGTTTTCTGTCTCTTTATAATTATCCCACAGATCCCTTGGTAGAATTCATTTGGGCAAATTTTGGCAGGCACATCTTAGATACGGAGAAGATTTATGTTGCATAAAACTGGTGCAGCAAGATCACCCTTTCACAGTTACAGGTACGCAAATAAACCTCCTTACCAGTTTCTATCACAGTAGAGACCCTTATTTGAAAAGATTCATTTAGTTTTCATAGGTATAATCACTGAAGCTTTCAGTTGAAATGGTAAATTAAGATTCCTAAATAGTTGTTGTTTCCAGTATATTTAAAAACATATATTTTTGCTCTTTTATGACATTTTTATTGAGACTGTCTAAGTTATTTAAAGCCGTATACTTCCTGTCTAGAACACCCTTAGCTGCTGGGGATGTGAGATAAATGATAATGCATTTAATCCCTTTGGTTACTGAAAAATTATTACTTCAGTACCACATCTGGCAGTTCTTTAAATAGTGTCAATGAATTGGTATAGCTTCTATGAAACTCGCACAACCACAGTGTCTCTTAAATATTTTTAATTAAAAAAAAACTGAAGTGAAAGGAAATGATACAATTATACCTGAGATCATGTTTATATTTTTAAGTATAACCTAGATTTGCAAATCTTTCAAGAAGTCAGATTCTTTTTCTGTCTCTGTCTCTCTCTGGGTTATGTTATGCATGAGGTCAGATTAGGTGACCATAAATTCCAAGGCAAGATGGGAACGTTCTGATTCTCTAATTTCAGAAAGTGTATATGTACTTCAGAAAGTTAAATGTTGGCAGATTTCAAGTAGTGACAGTGGTAATATTATCTAGCAATTAAGGCCCTGACCTTGAAGAATTTACTCACGTGCTTAACGTTATTACCATGAGTAGTCCCACTGAAATCAATGGGATTAATACTTGGTAGTAAAATTAAGCATGGACCTATTTTGCAGAATCAGGGTCTAAGGGAGCTCACAGCTATTCATAGGATCAGACCAAGTCAATGAGGACCCTTTCAGTTAAAATGCACATCCTGTGTAATGCAGGTTGATATTGGGATCCAGCCTTGAGTTTTCAGATCAGCAGATGCATTAATTTCTCACCTAGACAATAAATGAAGTTTCTTTGACAACATGATTTGTTAAGTCCTAAATATTTCTGTATTTCTGACTACTTTTTCTTTAACACCCATCTCGAGTATCTGAGATGCTGGACAGGTTTTTACAATTAAACTGAAAACTAGGCACAACATACATTCTGTCTCTAGAAACTCAGCAATTTGACTTTTGATGAACACACAGTCCCTCTCTCCTCTGTATTAGGATGGAAAAATGCATTCTTCCATTAATTTTTTTTTTCAGTACCTTCTAAATAGACGAGTAATCCTAATATTTAGAAGTAGATGCAGAAAGTTAACCACTTGTAGAGGACTATTAAATGCAAGGTGGAAGGGACTGTTAAAATCTCTTTGCTGAAAGGTGAATTTTTATATTGAAGGATGGCAATGGCTCTTTAGGAGCACTTATGGTTTGTGTACATATGTATTTTGGCATCATGTAAAAATTTTTTGACTTGTCTCTGGATTTAAAAACACACCTGACATGTTAGACTTTGAAAAGCGGCTACTGTACACATGCAATAACTTTTTGAAAATATTAAGTCATTAAACCAAATTGATTGCTCTCTTGCCAAGATTGTCTTATCTCAATTTTTATCTAATATTAAAAAAAAACTTGAGTCAATAAAACTATTCTCTTATTTTTTAAAAAAATCACTGACGTTAAAATCTTAAAATTAGAGCTGTCAAGCAATTAAAAAAATTAATCACAATTAATCGCACTGTTAACCAGTAATAGAATACCATTTATTTAAGTATTTATGGATGTTTTCTACATTTTCAAATATATTGATTTCAATTACAATACAGAACATAAAGTGTACAGTGCTCACTTTATATTTATTTTTGATTACAACTATTTGCACTGTAAAAAAACACACACAAAAGAAATAGTATTTTTCAGTTCACCTAATACAAGTACACCTCTACCCCGATATAGCGCTGTCCTTGGGAGCCAAAAAATCTTACCACGTTATAGGTGAAACCGCGTTATAACGAACTTGCTTTGATCCGCCGGAACGCGCAGCCCCGCTCCCCCAGAGCGCTGCTTTACTGCGTTATATCCGAATTCGTGTTATATCGGGTCGTATTATATTGGGGTAGAGGTGTACTGTAGTGTAATCTCTTTATCATGAAAGTTGAATTTACAAATGTAGGATTATGTACAAAAACTGCATTAAAAAATAAAACAATGTAAAATTTTAGAGTCTGCAAGTGCACCCAGATCTACTTCTTGTTCAGCCAATTGCTCAGACAAACAAGTTTGTTTACATATACAGGAGATAATGCTGCCTGCTTCTTGTTTACAGTGTCACCTGAAAGTGAGAACAGGCATTCTCATGGCACTATTATAGCCGTCGTCACAAGATATTTAAGTGCTAGATGTGCTAAAGATTCATATATCCCTTCATGCTTCAACCACCTTTCCAGGGGACGTGTGTCCAAGCTGATGACTGGTTCTGCTCGATAACAATTCACAGCAGTGCAGACCGATACATGTTCATTTTCATTATCTGAGTCAGATGCCACCAGCAGAAGGTTGATTTTCTTTTTTGGTGGTGCGGGTTCTGCAGTTTCTGCATCGGAGTGTTGCTCTTTTAAGACTTTTGAAAGCATGCTCCACACCTCATACCTCTCAGATTTTGGAAGGCACTTCAGATTCTTAAGCTTTGAGTCCAGTCCTGTGGCTATCTTTAGAAATCTCACATTGGTACCTTCTTTGCGTTTTGTGAAATCTGCAGTGTGTGGGTTTTTTAAATGAACATGTGCGGGGTCATCATCCGAGACGGCTATAACATGAAATATATGGCAGAATGTGGGTAAAACAGAGCAGGGGACATACAATTTTCCCCTGAGGAGTTCAGTCAAAAATTTAATTAATGCATTATTTTTTTAACGAGCGTCATCAGCATGAAAGCATGTCCTCTGGAGTGGTGGCCGAAGCATGAAGGGGCATATGAATGTTTAGCATATCTAGCACATAAATACCTTACAAATCCAGCTACAAAAATGCCATGCAAAAATGCCTGTTCTCACTTTCTGGTGACATTGTAAATAAGAAGAGGGCAGCATTATCTCCTGTAAATGTAAACAAACTTGTTTGTCTTAGCAGTTGGCTAAACAACAAGTAGGACTGGGTGAACTTGTAGGCTCTGAAGTTTTACATTGTTTTGGTTTTGAGTACAGTTATGGAACAAAAAAAATCCACATTTGTAAATTGCACTGTCACGACAAAGAGATTGCACTACAGTACTTGTATGAGGTGAATTGAAAGATCCTATTTCTATTGTTTATCATTTTTACAGTGCAAATATTTGTAATAAAAAAGAATATACACTGATTTAAATTACAACACAGAATACAATGTATATGAAAATGTAGAAGAGCATCCAAAATATTTAATACATTTCAATTGGTATTCTATTGTTTAACAGTGCAATTAAAACTGTGATTAATCATAATTAATTTTTTTTTGAGTTAACTGCAATTAATCGACAACCCTACTTAAAATATATATTTCCAGACTAAGATACTGACTTTTAATGGGAAACTGTAATATATATCCTTTTTAAAAGGGCGATAAAATCCTAGAATTAGTGGTTTATAATGGACGCCAGATAAACGTGCTGTAGTTCAGAATCTACCAGATACCTTAGCAGTTGTTTTGATATTGTTTTATCTGCACTAGAATACACGTTCTTTATGGGGGGAAAAGGACTCCATTCTATTGAGGAATTTATTCCTACTCAAGGGTTTGTTAGTGACAGTCATCCTCACCAGATGGTCAATGTTGTCAATATACACCAAACATAGCAATCATGTATACAACGGACCTCGCTAAATTTTGGCAAAAGTGACCCATTTCAACAAAGTGTGAGAAAAATCATTTTCTTCTGAATGTTAGAAATCTCCCAATGTAGCTTTCTGTAGGAAGATTTTTCCAGATTGATATTGAAGAAGAAGGTATAAATACAGAAAAGAAAAGATTCGGAAATTGTAACAAATGGTCTAGGGAAAAAATTGCCTACCACATAGGATGTATTTTGTGTTGCTATGGCTGAATGTGTTTTGCTTGTTAATACGATGTGTTCAGTTACACATAATTTATAGGGCAACGTATATGATCATCAGTCTTTTGGATGAGATGTGAAACTGGGGAGCTGTTCTCTTGTGGTAATTAAAAATCTCATGCATTTTTATGTAAGTGTTGTTAAAGCTGTTAACATTGGAACATGGTCAGATTTCAGTTTGAGTAAGAAAGTTCTACAGAGTTAAATTCCCCTGCTGTTTCAGTTGGATATGATCCTCACTTCCTATTTTATTATTATTAATCATGTTCATTATGGTAGTGCATAAAGACCAACTGCATTGGGCCCCATTGTGCTAGGTACTGTACAGACACGGAGTACTGTAGTAGACAGCCCCTGCCCTGAAGAGCTTACAATCTAAACAGACAAGACAAGCACCGCGTGAAGGAAATGGGTGTTAACATGAAAGCAAAGTGAACAATGTGATGGTAGCTAACGTCTTTTGGGGAAATGTTTAATTATTTTTTTTTTGGTGGGTTTAGTTAGGAGGGAATAACATAAATGGAAAGGAAAAAGGGGAGAGGGGACATCAAGGGGGTGAAGGGGATAAGAGGGGCAGGTGGTGGAGTAAAGCTTAAGGTGAAGAGACAGTGAAGGAGAGGGCTGGAGCAAACAGCCAATCAGCACAGGGGAGAGAAAGTCCAGTCAGAACTACTATACAAAGTTCTCTGAATGCCCAAACATTTGGCTGCTGCTCCAGCTGGAGTCTCTGGCTGCTTTTTCTCTGCAGGTTTTCCCCAAGACCAGGTGTGGCGGGGAGGCACCACCTGGGCAGTAGTTTCCTCAGAGTGTGGCGGAATCTCACAGTTGTGCATCTGAGGGGATGCCAAGGGGAGGAGCAGCCCTGGCTGGGCCCATTTAACCCACTTCTCTCCCAGTGCTGCAGTCCCTGCTTCTGCAGCTGCTCCTACCAGCTCCTACCTAACTGCTGTGCTGTGTTTTGTTAAATAGTTGAAGCGTTTCTCCCCAGCAGTGGATGCATTGCAGTGGTGGGTTAAGGGATTCCTATGTATAATTTATAAGTCTTCTGATAAAGTTTGAAAAGTCTTGGGCTCCTTCTGGACAAGAAGTTCTCTATAAACGTTAGATTATCTCTAAAACGCAGTTTTATATTTATTGACTTTCTTTTTGGTTTTCAGCTCCCTTTCTGCAGCCTGGAATCTTCTACATGCTTCTCATACCGTTATGCAGAAGGAGCTTTCTGAGTTTCATTTGTAAAGCAGAAGACGACTATTTTTGATTCTTTTTCACATTCAAGTATGGACATTATAATCTATGATGATTACTCCAATCCACCGCTTCAGAGATATTGAGAGGAAACCTGAATACCTCCAGCCAGACAAGTGTGTTCCACCTCCTAGCCATAGTTCCTTGGGAACAATGTGGTTTATTCGAGATGGCTGTGGTATTGCATGTGCTGTTGTTACCTGGATGCTTGTCTTCTATGCAGACTTTGTAGTCCTTCTTGTTATGTTAGTTCCATCAAGAGACTATATTTATAGTGTGATCAATGGGATATTGTTCAACATGTTGGCTTTCCTGGCTTTGGCTTCACATTTTCGAGCTATGCTATCAGATCCAGTAAGTATACTGTTATGTTTTTCTTGCCTGCCAGATATAGGGTAACTTGGGCCCTTGGTGAATAGCAGGTTTAAATAACTTGTCTGTGTCATCGTGATCAGTAAGCTTGGTGTTGTGGTATGCTAATATATCATTCTGTTGTGTCAGATTAACTCACCAAATGTAAAGGACCGAATCTCAGATTCTCTTGAGCCTGGTATGAACAGCTTCCTAGTAGTGTGAAAAGGGAAAGAGAGAGAGAGACTACCACCCTTTTACTCACCAGTACTAGATATAATGTTTGTGGCTTGTCATGACCTGACAAGCCGGAAAGCTAGAAAAACTTGTTTCAATTGTCTATCTTATCAGATGTCACTACAGTGGAATGGGGTAGGGAAAAAATTACGATGACTTCTGTAATAAAAATGTTATGATTCTTTTTCACATTAATGATTTAGCTGAAATTATTGGATTATACCTAATAATTTGTTTGTCTGTTTTAGCATTAAATCCCCCTAATAATATCAGCCCATATCTCTGTGGCTTCAAAAATGTATCAGACTCTTCGTAACTGGAAGGCTAAACATTCTAAGGTTAGATTTGAAACACAAGATGGATAGTGCAGTATCCAGGGACTTTGCCCTGGTCAGAAACGCAGTTCTACCCTCCTTTCTCCTTGCATCTCTGAACTGTTGGGAAGGGGATTTTTATCAGAGTGCTATCCCTAAATCTTCTTTGATGGCCCTGTCTTTCATATCTGTCTAGTAGATTAAATTTAAAATTATTGTTCTTCTAGCTGACGGAAAGGAGAGTAAGTTTTGTCTCTTCTGCCTTCAGAGTCTAGTAGCTGGTGTTGGGAATGTTGAAAGGGTCTCTGCCTCTCTGATCCCTCCCCCAAGCTCCATTTTGTGGATAAAACCCCCCACCATGAAAACTCGAATGGCTGTATTTATTGCTGAGCTTGCATCTTATTCAGGAACATCAGCAGGGAACTGACCTAGTTCTGGGCAGTTTCACTGTTGCTTACTGTAAAGTTGAGTCTTGGTCACTTCATAATGCTGTTGCTTGGCAAAACTATGAGTGGGAGTGGAGGTGCTCAAGGTTTCTGTCGTCAGACTCAGGAATACAGCACTGCAGCAATTTACATACAGTTCATATTTTGAAGGATTTCTTTTTTTATTGTAAATTATTTGAAAGACAGTAGTGTCCCTAAGAACCAACAGGCAATGGGGTCCAATTGTGCTAGGCACTGTATAGACATAGAGTAAGAGACAGTTCTTGCCACAGAGAGTTTCCAATCTAAATAGAACAGGCAGACAAAGGGTAGGAGAAAAGGACATAATGCAGAAGTAGAGTGATAAGTAAATGTCATGTTAGTTCCACATTTATTTATATATGGTGGCTGGCAGAGGGGCTAATGGGTGTTGAGGTTTTTTTGTCAATTCTTTGGTTGGGTTTTGTTATGAGCGCATCAGCTAAACAGAAAGACAAAAGAATGGGGGCATAGAAGGGATATGATGAGGACAGGATAGGTGCAGCAAGGCAGAGGTGAGGAAACTGTGAGGCAGGGGGGCTAGAGCAAAGAGCCAGTCACTACAGGGAAGAGCATGTCCAGTGTCAAAAATGTAGTTGAAAGCATTGTTGCTATAAAAACTCTTCCACCAAAAGTCAATTGTAATGTTACTTTCCTAACACAAGATTTATTTTAATGTAGGCTCCTGTTTATATATGTACCTCCACACTAGCAGTCATTCATGTGGTATTTTCAGGCTTTTTTTAATTAACATTTTTGCAGTGAAATTGTTAATATTAAGGTTAGAGATCTTTAATTTCTTGTCTTTTGAGAGTTAAGGTTCCTTCAGCAACATTAACTCAGCAATATTAAAGATGCATATTTAAGGGGAGAATTCAAAAACTGCACCATCATAGTGAATGCAAGAATGTTACTTAGTCTTATTTTTTTTTCTGGGCCTTTTTTTTAAAGTGGTATTTGTATACTTAACATCTCTCTAAAAGTTCTCATTTAAAAAACCCTAAACAAATTGGACGTTTATGAACACATGCAAAATATGTTTGTCTGCAACATTTAATGTAAGCAAAAACATTTCAGTTGTGTAACTTTTATGAGGACACATGCATATGTCCAGTTTGCTGTGACACAAGGTCAGATCATACGTCCAAGTAAACAGATAAGGATTACACCCTGCTTATTATTTATGTACTCTACTATGGCCTTACAATAGTGTCCTTTCTGTATCTTTCTCTTGGTCAATCAAATTCTGAAATATTGTGGTTGATGTTAGGGAAACTTGCACCTCTCTTCCCTTCCAAGAACTTGAACTGGGTCTCTTGATGTTATTGGCGAACACTGTGGGTACTGAAATCTTTGTTTTCATTTCCAGGGTGCTGTGCCCAAAGGTAATGCCACAAAAGAATTCATTGAGAGCTTACAGCTGAAGCCAGGACAGGTTGTTTATAAGTGTCCAAAATGCTGTAGCATCAAACCAGACAGAGCACATCACTGCAGGTACAGTCACTTGTATGTTGTGATTTAATGATGTGATGCTGTGGTTCAGGATTAAAAGAAAGCACTTATGTGGTGGACCAGTGTACTGTTGTAGGATATAAAAAGCAACAAAGAGTCCTGTGGCACCTTAAAGACTAACAGATGTATTGGAGCATAAGCTTTTGTGGGTGAATACCCACTTCGTCAGACACATGTTGTAGGATGGGATTTCCAAGGGGGCTTAAAGGATTTATCCACCTAACTCCCATTGAACCCTAATGTGAGTTGGGTGCCTAACTCTCTTAAACTCCTCTGAAAATCTCAGTGCTCAACAAAGACCATAAAATGTAGCGTGTCCCAGAATGCTTTGATATTGTGCCTTATGACATTATGATGCTTTCTGATTGTGAGGCACTTTGCTTGGGGTCAGCTCCTTGACCCTACTGGCAACACAAGCACTCCCCTCCAGGTCTTGTGCTCTTTTTACAGGTTAGCAATAGGGACACACCAATCCCTGAGTCCTGCGAGAATACCCTTTAGTGTCCAGCCCCTGTTTCCTTGGACACTCACAGAATTACTAGGCCTGCTGTTCCCAAAGGAACAGCACACCACAGCTTACTAATTCTTACTAATACTTAGAACATAGTTCCACTTCATACACAGCCAGAGTCAGGGGTGGGCCACGAGGGCGACTGTCCAGAGTGCCGTGGTGGGAAGGGGAAGAGGGGTGCTGTGAGGCAGTGCAGAGGTGTGTGCTGGCAGGGGAACGTTGCAAACTCGCAGAGGTGACGCATGGGGGGGGTGCCCAGATTTCTCCCAGCAGCGGAATGTGGGGCGGGGGTGTGAGCGGTGATGCACAGATACTACTCGTCCCCTCCTCCCAACATTCCTCCGCGCCCCTTTAGGAGGCTATGATTAGGGGAGTGAGGAGCAATGCCAGGACTCCCTGCATCCAGGTCACTTTCCCCACCTGGACTGTGCTGTGAGGCGAGCATCAGAAGCTGATACTTGGGCTGTGTAAGGGGAGGGCAGGAGAGTAAGTTCATAGAGGAGTTAGGTAAGTTCATGGAGGATAGGTCCATCAGTGGCTATTAGCTAAGATGGTCATGGATGCAATCCTATGCTCTGGGTGTCCCTAAAACTCTGGTGGCCAGAAGCTGGGACTGATGGTGGAATGGGTCTCTCGATAAATTGCCTTGTTCTGTTAACTTCTTCTGAAGCATCTAGCAACATCAGATTTTAAGCTGTCATAGGATAAGAGGAAAGCTCCTCTCATGGATCGGTAACTGGTTAAAAGATAGGGAACAAAGGATAGGAATAAACGGTCAGTTCTCAGAATGGAAAGAGGTAAATAGTGGTGCCTCCCCAGGGGTCTGTACTGGGACCAGTCCTATTCAACATATTCATAAATGATCTGGATAAAGGGGTAAACAGAGAGGTGGCAAAATTTGCAGATGATACAAAACTACTCAAGGTAGTTAAGTCCCAGGCAGACTGCGAAGAGCTACAAAAGGATCTCTCAAAACTGGGTGATTCGGCAACAAAATGGCAGATGAAATTCAGTGGTGTTAAATGCAAAATAATGCACATTGGAAAACATAATCCCAACTATACATATAAAAGGATGGGGTCTAAATTAGCTGTTACCACTCAAGCAAGAGATCTTGGAGTCATTTTGGATGGTTCTCTGAAAACATCCACTCAATGTGCAGCGACAGTCAAAAAAGCTAACAGAATGTTGGGATCATTAAGAAGGGATAGATAATAAGACAGAAAAATATCATGTTGCCTCTGTATAAATCCATGGTATGCCCACATCTTGAAAACTGCATGCAGATGTGATCGCCCCATCTCAAAAAAGGTAGATTGGAATTGGAAAAGGTTCAGAAAAGGGCAACAAAAATTATTAGGGGTATGGAACGGCTTCCATATGAGGAAAGATTAATAAGACTGGGACTTTTCAGCTTGGAAAAGAGACAACTAAGGGGGCATATGACAGAGGTCTATAAAATCATGACTGGTGTGGAGAAAGTAAATAAGGAAGTGTTATTTACTCCTTCTCATAACACAAGAACTAGGGGTCGCCAAATGAAATTAATAGGCAGCAGGTTTAAAACAAACAAAAGGAAGTATTTCTTCACACACGCACAGTCAACCTGTGGAAATCATTGCCAGGGGATTTTGTGAGGGCAAGAGGATCCCTCTAACCCTTATGTACCCCCATCTGGTACAAATTGATCTCTGGGTCACAGTCACATTTGAACCAGAATTATTCACCAGTGGTTAAAAGCGATTGAAAATGACATGTGAGTCATGCACATTACTTTCTTTGTCATTGTTTATTTGTGGACCAAATTTTTTCAAGCATGTCAGTCACTTGTCCATGACAAGTGTGAAATTTTAAAAGGCATAAGAATATCTTAATTATTTTCAAATCACTTTTTCACAGTTATGAAATATATTATTATTTAAAAGAAAGTATTTTTTCTGGGAGAGTGGTGTATAAATACAGGGAAGGCTGTTGCACACAGCTCAACGTGAGCACATTAAAGTTATAGTTGCAGTTATAAGCAGCAAGACTGCAGAAGGTTGATATAGCTCTGATTGTATTAAATCTTACTTTGCTAGTCTGTCACTGGGTCCTCTGTTGTCTAGATAATCAGTGATATACAGCATGGGTAAGTGGGAATGAAACAGGAAGAGAAATGGGTAAAAAAGTGAACTGAGAAAAGTCCATAAAAAGTGGCATGTCTCAAAATACTAGTGTCTTCATTCACAGACCTGATGGCATTTGTGACTTTGGCTTTAATTAGCCCTTTTTATTACTACTAAATTAATTTAAAACTTGCTTTAAATACAGGTAATTTAATTACAGATTTAGAATCATTTCCATATTTTGATTTACAAAGGACAAACCAAAATTATGGAACCTAAATTATACCTGTGGTGGAGAGTTGGGGCTTCCCCCCCCCCACACACACACACTTTGTTTCAGTAAGTAGTTAAAGGATCTGTATGAGCTTCATCATTCCCCTTCCCCCCCAGTGTATTCCTAGAGGATTTCCATGAAAGGACTGCAGTTACTTTCACTCTGGGGGGTTATGCTGCCTTGTGCCGCCATCTGTCTCTTTAGATTTGGGGGAGCTATTGCTACCACCACCAACAACCCTTTTCTGCTAACTAGGGATGTAAAATGTTAACCAGGGGTTAACGGTTAAGGTGGGTTAACCGGTTAGACTAATGCTTACTGATTAACCGGTTAACATTTTACATCGCTAGTTCTCAGACCATCTCCAATGCCCATTGAAGTCCATGGGAATCTTTTAAAATAAATATTTCCCTGTTGTTCTGTGTGTGGGTGTCTCACAGCAGGATCATACGCATGCACAGCAGAGGGTGTTGGTTGCCATGTGCTTGAGAGTTCCTGCTGTTCACATGCTTGTATGAGGCAGTTGCACCCAACTAACTGCTCCTTCTCGTCATGAGCTTCTGGCCCTGCTCCTGGGAAGGAAGGAGGGTGATCCCTACTAATCTTTTGGCCCTCTCTTTGCCATCTAGCCTGAAGCGTCTGAGGGTGGAGGGTCTTTGCTGCTTTACCCTAGTCTCAGCTCTTGGAAGTTACTTCAGCCCCAGCTCTCACCCTGTCCCCCCATTGGCTCCTGCAGGTGATGTCATAGCTCCAGCCCCTTGCTGCTTCCCATCCCTACGCCTTAGGACTCCTGTGTGGGCTACTGTCTCTCTCCCATCTTGGCCTGGCTGCTCCACGTCATCCCTCCGGAGGGGACTCCTTCCCTCGCCTCTCAACCCAGTGTCTCATGGCTTCCCCCCGAGTGCTGCAGAGAGTAGGTGGTAGATACCTGCTTCCCAGCTAGTCATCTTGTCTATCTCCAAGATCTTGTGGAGCAGCCTGGGGAAAGGACACCCGTTCCTCCTGTGGTATGCCCTCTGGCTCATAAATGGATCCAAGGGGTAATGAAGAGGACAACTTGCTCCCTCACTATGCCTCCCGATACTCCCTAGCTGTGTGAATGAGTGCAGGGAAAGAAAGAGGCTTCCTTTACTCTCCTTGTGCTCTCTTGCACCCACATGGGAGTTCATTGATGAAGGTACTGCTGGGCATGCCCTGCTCCCTACCTCTTTCTGATAGTGCTCTCTTGCCCTCTGTAGAGGTTTGGGGAGTAAAAAATAGTCTTCCTTGGGCCTATAGCCAGCGGTCCAGGGAAGAGGAGAGCCTCTCTAGCCCTGGACTTATACACAGAACAGGCTCTACTGCTGTGTTACTCTTGCAGAGATGGGAAGAATGTGCATGTGAGCTACCAGCAGAATAGTGCATGAGACAGGACATGAAACTGACAAACAATAAGACAGTAAAACTGATTATACCCAAAGGTGCACATGCACACATCTAATAAACAGACAAAATTAGTTTTTCCGTCAATCTTAGTCACCATAGGTGGTGGGTGTCATCAAAAGGACAATTTTAAAGCAACTAATTTTATTTTTAAGTTAGGGTGCCCTTTTAAATACACATATTTTTAAATCACAATAACTTTAAGCTACTTCCTGCAATACAAAGCTTCTTGTGTTAGTGATGACTAATCTGGGGGCAAATATTAACCTGAGTAACTTTGTCTGCTGGAGGAGAAAAAATCTTAGGGCCCAATCCTGCAAAGCCTGCTGGTCCTGAGCCTGCACAGTCTGACATCCAAGATCAAGATTTTAGTTGCTTATTTGCACCTTGAGAATTTTATTTCTTGCCTTTGTGGACTGCTTCCTTCCAAGATCTGTAATAAATACTTGACTATTTCAAAATAGGGATGTTAATATTTATTAACTTTTTTGTTGTTTTATTGTCTGTGCATTCTTGTAATTCGTTTTTTTAAGCGTTTGAGTTTTTTCTTTAAGGTCAAAACAGTTTAACTTTATCATAAGAAAAATATAATAAGCAGAACACTCCATTTCTCTGTTTAAATCCTGTGAGGGTGGTTGTGAAACCACATATTCCTGACTTTCAAATTCGCTTTTCATACTTTTTTGTGCATTTTAGCACCAGGAGACTGGTTTTCTTCACTGCTGTATCATAAGATAGAAGAGCAAAAAGGCTTTTATTATGTTGGAGATTTAAAATGCCAGTGAAGCAGCAGTGACTAGTAAACTAAGAGAAACTAACATTACAATGAATTAATCCTCTTTGATTGTTTGACTCCTAAGCACAGTATGCATTTGCAGCTTTTATTTTTTAGAATTTGTAATTAGAATTGTTACTTTAGAATTGTTCTGCCCACTTTTGCTGAGTGCTTAAAATCTAATTCTTTAATTGTGGTGATGGTGTCTCAGTGACTCCCACTGGTAAATTAATCCAGTGCCTGATTGACTTCATTGTCAGGTATTTTTCTGAAAAAATAATTAGAATTTTCCATTTTTTTTAATAAAGCTCCTGTCAGAGTAAATTTAATAAATAGGAACAATTTCAGTAATTTGTTACAAAGGTTATTCTGAGAAGTTTATCCATTGCTGTCTCCTATGATTTTATTTTTTATTCTACTACTTTGAAACTCTCACAGAGCCCGGAGGTCAAACCCAGACTAGATTAAATCAATTTCATTTCACTTGCTTAAGTTTAATGTTCAATCTCTGTATATTAGTGGAACCATTAATCATAATGTTACTTTGTTGTGATTTGCCATTTACTTTTGGCACGACTGCAATTAGGGACAATAGGATGGTTGACAATTTTGAACAGAAGTAGCCAAATTTGTGTGTGTTTGTGTTTTTTCCAGGTGCCCAATATTTTCTTTGTACTCTTGCTGTATTTTCTGAAAACCACACACTATAAAGATTTTTGTTCTTTATTTCAGTGTTTGCAAGAGGTGTATTCGGAAAATGGATCATCACTGTCCATGGGTTAATAACTGTGTAGGAGAGAATAACCAGAAGTACTTTGTACTGTTTACAGTAAGTTGTTTTATTGAGTAAATTTTTCTGTCTAACCAGCGACAATGAAATTCCATGACTGTTAAACGGCTGTGAAGATATATATTTTAAGTAGAACCACAAATGGGAAATATATTACAAATTAGCAAAATTAAATAATTAAGGAGCAAATGTAATAAAAGAACAGGAATAAGTCATCACCAAAGGTACTTTGCCATTTATTTTGTCAATTGTGTAGCATTAGTTGGTATAATACATAGCATAACAGTAAATATACCTCACAAAATACTCCACAGTAATAATAGTGAAGTCTCAATCAGCTTTTTGGGGTACGGGCTGATTTTTTGTTCTGTATTAATATTTTATTTATAGAGTACTTTGCACAATGGAGTTCAGGTCCATGACTAGGGTTCCAAGATGCTACAGTAATACAAATAATAATAAGATTGTGCCTCATTATTGCATCTGCTGTTACCTCTTTGCTGCCAGGGTGGAGAGAAACCTCATATTTTTGGCAGGGATTACAAGGGTTCTACTTGTAAGTAGCCAATGTTGGCACTCAAAAATCAGGCAGAAATGCTTCCGATTTTCTTACTGTGTACTGTATCTACTGTATATAGAGCAAAAGTATGGGAGTGCAAACTTAATTAGCATGTAAACAGTGAAATCTGGGCTCCATTGAAGTCAATGACAAAAATCCCAGGATTTCACCCAAAAAATTAATGTCAAGAGAATATTACAGCTTGCACAATTGACTTTTAGTGTTGTTCCATTTTATCAGTAATCTTTTATGGTAAATCTCTAGGTAGAAGATGGTCTGTTATGATATTAGGAAATAGGTGCAAGTCTTCAGTCAGACTTGAAGTAAGAATTGAAAATAAATGTATGAACCCTTTAATTTGCTTTTCACTGTATGGTGTATTCTGCTATTGCCAGAGGCACAGCTAGTCAACTTTCTTTTTGAGGCACAATACCTAATTTAGTTGGGAAAACAGGAAAATATTTACACCAGGTACTTTTCCACCGGACTAGTCTCTCCTCCGTCTGATTAAGCCTGTACTAGCTTTAGAGGGAGGAATGGGAAACATAAATATATCTCTCCTTTCAATATCCAGATTGGAATACAATTCCTAGCTGGTTCATCCCGAATGTGGGATGTTGGATTTCAGTTTCAGCTAAATTTGACAAGTCTCTCTTTCAAAATGGACTATATTAAACACCTAATCTGTCTGAGGAAAAGATGAAACAAGTTTTTCTATTAATCTTTTTAAGGGCTCAGGAGGAGAAAGGATGGTAGCATATAAAAGCATCAAAAGAAAAATATTTTTCCATTGTCTTTCACTTGCACCTCATTTGGAAGATATTATGTTCCCATATTTGTTAGTATTTGTTTCATTCTATATCACTACAATGAAAACCTTCCTACGTATATATGTGTATGTTGCAAGTGGTGGGGGTAGAAATGCCTATAGGTAACAATTTAAAATTTTCCATGCTAAGTGTCTGCCTCATGTTTAAATTTATTTATTTATTTATTTATTTATTTTTAAATTTCAGTGAAAATGGTTTAGCTATTTTTCAGAATGAGATCAAGGAAAAACACATTTTGCCAATAGTAAAAATAAAACCAAAAACTTACAACTGTTACACTGAAAAGCCCTAGCACCTCCATGCTTTGGAACAGCGACTTGAAATTTGACAGTGTTGTCCTGGTATCAGGGATGTGCCGTTTGCTATCTCCCTGAAAATCCATCCAAATTTGGCCAAGCTATGAGCCTCTAAAAATCTCATTGTGCACATTATCAGTAAAAACTAGATTGTGCAGTAGAGACTACAAATAGTATATGAAAGGAAACATGGCCTTGTGGGTAGATAGCTGAACTGGAATTCAGGAAACCTGGGTTCTGTTCCCAGCTCTGCTGTTGTCCTGCTGGATGACCTTGGGCAAGTCACTGCATCTCTCTGCCTCAGTTCCCTATCTGTGAAATAGGAATGATGATACTGACCTCCTTTGTATTACCATCCTTTCATTGATGAAAAGTGCTATATAAGGGCTAGGTGTTATTATCATATAACAAGATTGTATCAGAATGCATACACACAAGGGGGCCAAATTAAGGCTGTCTACCTTAGTTTTGGCATTTCCTAATTTTTGAGTGCTCGACTTTGCAACCGTAACATTTTAAATGTAGTTTATTTGGACATATGTGTATAAGCAGCTTTTACAGCTATGCTTAAAAATATTTTAAATACATTGTGTTTCAGATGTATATAGCACTAATTTCCATGCATGCCCTAATCATGGTGGGATTTCACTTCCTGTATTGCTTTGAAGAAGACTGGACAAGTGAGTATTGACGAAGTATTCCTTTCAAATACCAAATTAACCTGTAGAGAAAGCATTGTGATATAGTTTAGAGGAAGGGCAGCTTTTTTTACTGCTAGTTGTCAGAGAATGCTGTTAATATTATGAGCTACTTTTTATTTTTGTGACCATTCCTGGAATTTTAAAATTCCACCTATCCTGTTAGGAATTTTCTGTCATGAAGGGTTAAGTCCTACTTAAACACACACCATACATAACCTGGAGAACAGATAGACTCTTAAGGCTCCATGTCAGTACATAGTAAAAGATTAGTGTTTACATGAATTTGTCACTGATAATTCCTGCATGCTAAAGTGAGACGGGGAGAATGCATGTGCTCTTTTTAAATCAGGTAATGAAAACCATCCCTGCAAAACTGTTGAGAAAACTGATCAGCTCAGATGCAAAAATGCACTCTCACGTGTTCAAACAACTTCCCCTACCCTCCAAAAACAAAAAACACCTCATGCTGGAAAAGTCAATGAGTAGAATTTTACAAAGCTGCTTTAAACCATCAGGTTTAATCCACAGTACTTAGGTAGATTGATTTATTTTTAAAAAGAGCCAGGGCTTGAGAAATCCACTTGCCAATACCAAGTAGAAAAGTTTACCTTGGGGGGTGGGGGAGTGGTGTGTGTGTGTGTGTGTGCAGGAGGATGTTTCAATTTTTGCAGGATTTAAGCTTTCACTTCAAAATAATTACAATTTTAGTCATTAGAACTGTGAAGAAAATCTTACAAATGGGAACTAATGCATTGCAAGCCTGCAGCTCAAAACTTTGCCAGGCAGGCACAGAGTTAAACTGATAAAATCTGGAGCTGCCCAGTGTGGGCAGAAGGAGGCTGTGAAAGTGGTAAAATAAAGGAGGGTTCCTTTCCCTCTCCAAAATAATCAGGCTCTAGAGAGCTCATAATGAGCGTGCTCCTTCTCTTCTTCAGGTATGGAATCCCTGAGCAGGATTCAGGGATAGGACCCTGGTAGAAAGCAGCTGGGAGGTGCACCTGAGCTTCTGTTGTTATTGCTGGTCCTGGACCCTATTGATGGGGTCCTCATCTTTTGTATTGGCCTCTGGGTATTAGGTGTCTGGTAAAATTTAGAATCCTTGGTCAGGGCAATATCTGCAAGTGGCTTACTTGTGGGTAGAGAACTGTTTTTAAGCAGTTCTCATTATTGGATTTCACAGAACTTTGAGAATATATTAGAATGAATTCATAAGCTAGTAATTACATTTTGTTTGTTGTATCATTTTTCTTTTTCCCCCTTACTTTCCTAGACTCATAGAAATGCAGGGCTGGATGAGACCTCAGGAGGTTATCAGGTCCAGCCCCCTGCACTGAGGAAGGACCACATAAATCTAGACCATCCCTGACAGGTGTTTGTCCAACCTGTTACAGAGCTTAATTACACTTATAATTAGAAGGTTTTTCCTAATATCTAATCTAAATCTCCTTTGCTGAAGATTAAACCCATTTCTTCTTGTTCTACCTTCAGTGGACATGGAGAACAATTGATCACATTCCTCTTTATAGTGGCCCTCGCATATTTGAAGATTATCTGGTCCCCTCTTTGTCTTCTTTTCTCAAGACTAATAGATCAGGTTTTCTAAACCTTTTACCAATTTTGTTGCTTTTCTCTTGATTCTCTCCAGTTTATCAATATCTTTCCTACACTGTAATGCCCAGAATTGGATGCACTACTCCAGCTGAGGCTCACCAGTGCCAAGAAGAGCAGGACAATGCTATTAGTCTTTTTTGCAACTGTATCACATTATTGACTCATTCAGTTTGTGATCTACTGTCACACGCAGAGACTTTTCAGCAGTGCTACCACCTAGCCAGTTATTCCCCATTTTGTAATTGAGCATTTGATTTTTCCTCTTTAAGTTCTTTGCACTTATCTTTATTATATTTCATCTTGTTCAATTCAGAGCAATTCTCCAATTTGTGACGGTTGTTTTGAATTCTAATCCAGTCGTACAAAGTGCTTGCAACCCCTCCCAGCGTGGTATCTTCTGCAAATGTTCTAAGCGTACATTCCTCTGTTATCAAAATACTGAATAATACCAGATCCGGGACTGACCCTGCGGGACCCCACTAGATAGGCCTTCCCAGTTTGATATCAAAGCATTGATAACTATTCTTTGAGTACGGTGTCTCACCCATATTTATAGTAATTTAATCTAGACTGCATTTCCCTAGTTTGCTTATGAGAATATCATGTGGGACTATGTCAAAGACGTACTAAAATCAGGATATCATGTCTATAACTTCCCCTCATCCATTAGGCTAGTAACCTGTCAAAGAAGGAAATTAGGTTAGTTTGGCATGACTTGTTCTTGACAAATCCATGCTGGCTATTCCTTATAACCGTGTTATCCTCCAGGTGTTCACAAATTGATTGTTTAATAATTTGTACCAGTATCTTTCCAGGTATCAAAGTTAGGATGACTGGTCTATAATTCCCCCCCTGGTCCTCATTGTTCCTGTTTTAAAGATAGGTGCTATGTTTGCCCTTCGCAGTTGTTTGGGACCTCCCCAACCTCCATGAGTTCTCAAAGATAATTCCAATAGTTCCAAGATTGCTTCAGCTAGTTCCTTAAGTATGCTAGGATTAATTTCACCAGGCCCTGCTGACTTGAATACAACCAACTTATCTAAATCTTCTTTAACCGTTTCTTTCCCTACTCGGCTTGCATTCCTTCCCATTGTTGTTAGTATTACTTGTGTTCAGTATCTGCTCATCATTACCCTTTTTAGTGGAGACTGAAGCAAAATAGGCATTAAACTCCTCTGCCTTCTTGGTGTCATCAGTTATTAGCTCTCCTTCCCTACTAAATAGAGGACCTATACTTCCCTTCATTTTTTTTCTCTTGCTCCTAATGTATTTAAAGAACCTCCTCTTCTTTGCCTTTTATGTCCCTCACTACGGACTTATGCCTTAGACTTTCTGATTTTGTCCCTACATTCTTATGCTGTTCTTTTGTACTTCTCATTAGCAATTGGTTCATGTTTCCTCTTTTTGTAGGATTCCTTTTTGATTTTCAGGTCATTAAACAACTCCTGATGGAGCCATATTGGCCTCTTACTGTTCTTCCTGTCTTTCCTTTGGATCAGGATAGTTTGCAGTTGCAGCTTTAATAATGTCTCCTTGAGAAACTTCCAGCTCTCCTGAACTACTTTTTCCCCTTAGATTTTTTTTCCCCATGGGACCTTATATACCACTTCTCTGAGTTTGTTAGTCTGCTTTTTTGAAGTCCATTTTCCTTATTTTGCTCCTCTGACTCCTTCCTTTCCTTAGAATTATAAAACTTATCATTTCATGATCACTTTCACCCAAATTGCCTTCCACCTTCAGATTCGTTACCAATTCCTTCCTGTTAGTCAGAATTAATCTAAAATGGTTGTCCTCCCCCTGCCCCCCCAACCCCTCTGGTTACTTCCTCCGCTATCTGAAACAAAAAGTTGTCCCCAGTACACTCCAAGAACTTTATAGGAAATTTTGTGTTTTGCTGTATTACTTTTCCAACAGGTGTCTGGGTAGTTAAAGTCCCCCATTACTACAAGGTCTTGTGTTTTGGATATTTCTGTTGTTTGTTCAGGAAATGCCTCATCGATATTTGTCTACCTGATTTGGAGGTCTATTAGACCCCTACTGTGACATCACTCCTACTTTTTTACCCCTTTTTTCTTTACCCAGAGACTTTCTGCCCCGCACCTCCTTGTGAACCTCAGAACAGGTTTATATATTCTTGATGTATAATGCAACACCACCTCCCTGTTTCTCTTGCCGGTTCTTCCTGAACAAGCTATATCCCTCTATACCAATATTCCAGTCATAAGACTTTCACAGCTACCCTTTTAAACCCTGCTTAACCTTGCAGGGACATTGCAGTATAGATAAACCTTATGGGGGAAAGGGGATGGGTTTGAGAGAACCAAGAATATATAACCCTTCTCAGTCTTCAAAAGTCAGTTATGAAAGGAACATGCTGTGCTTTTTATAATGGACAATTGGTGCTACAGAAGTAATCTTCTCTGGTTTCCTCTGTGTCCTCACCCATTAACTTGAGGTGCCTTTTCCTAATTGACTTCATCATAGAGAAAATTAGTAAAAACTCTACAGATAGAATGTGCAAGTGGTAGGGTCCAGGTGAGAGCACTGGAGGGGGGCTTAGTTGGAAAAGAAAATTGCCTGCCATACATATCACAGCACAAGTTTCTTTTTCTTCAAATTAACAGTACTAATTATCTCAGTATCCCACTTCCTTGGGAATCACATACCTTTTCTGTAGGCCTCTGATTATGGCGGTCATGTCAGTTTCTTATTTTGATAGAACTTTGTTTGACGAACTGTTGAGAACTTGAGATAATCTGATACGTAATATCAATGGCAGAATTTACTGCTTAGTAACACGTTTGTAGTTTTACATGTGGGCTTTGTTCCCTAGTCCCTTATTTTTGAGTATTCATTGTTTTGTCATATGTTTTCACAGAATGCAGCTCCTTCTCTCCACCAACTACAGTGATCCTTCTTATCCTCTTGTGTTTTGAGGCTCTCTTGTTTCTCATCTTCACATCTGTAATGTTTGGGACCCAGGTACACTCCATCTGCACTGATGAAACGGTGAGTTCTCCGTGGTCTTGCGTTCCCCTGCTCACAGTTGTAAGATCTGTGAAATGTCATGTGGTTCTGCTTCACTGCCCTAGCATGCATGGAGCCTTTGAGGCTGATATAAAGCAGACTAAGCCTGCACAGTGGCTGAGGTCACTCCTGAATGGCTAGCATAAGAAGTTGGGTAGTGTGGGGATGTTGCAACTACAGCAACAGTGAGTGATATTTTTATCTTAACAAGCATAAGTAACTGGGATTACTCTGCAGAGAGTTTCACCCCAGTGGAATGGGGAATCTTAGACAACAGACTCCCTGTGGAGTGTTTGCTGCTAAGGAATCATTAAAGATTCCAGTGGGTAGTACCTAATGTTACTATTTACAGCTTCAAGTGTTGAAAAGCAAAGATGAGACCAGTGAGATGGAAAAAAGAATTTTGTTTTGTAAATTTCCAGTTTAAGCTTTTCTATAATTTACTTAATCGGGAGCTCTCTGCAGCTACACAGAAATTCAGCACCCTTGCTGTGCTCCACAGCCATGAAAGCTATCCAGGATGCTAAGGCAACAATGTGGAGCTTACACAGAAACACTGGAGTCCCTTGTTCAGCACTGCATCCTGACCTCTTCTTCAAAGGTGAAGTCCCTAACTGGTAATAGTACTTTTACCCCCGTGAGAATATCATCAGACTTCACCAATCATGCTCAGGGTATCTGTCATAGCTTAACAGAAGTCTAAGCCCTTCCCTGATTGGATAGGTTGGGGGAAGTGACAACCTTAAAGGGGCCACTGCTGAGTGTCTTAGTGCAGGGGTTTCCGAACTTTTTTCCCCTGAGGCCCACCTAGGCAGCTGCAGTGGGCACTGTGGCCCTCTGTTAACACGTATCTGTCAGAGAGAGGGGCACCACAGGGTCCCTCGCCTCAGCAGGGACCAGGGCCAGCAAGAGGCCAAAGGGGCCACTGCCAGCCCCTGCCAACGCCTTCTGCCTCAGCAGCCTGCTGAGTGCCTTGAGCTCATCACCTGGCAGCCCTGCCCCGTCACCCACCCAACACCCTGTCGTGCCTCACAGGCACTCCCTGCCGGGAACGAGGGAAGGGCTCAGGGGCCGCCTGTGTCGGGCAGAGGCAAGAGCTCAGGTTGGGCCCAGCCATTAACTGATGGTCCCGATCACAGCATTGTCCAAGTGGGAACAGAGCAGCACTGCTGAGCCCCAGTCCTGGGGGCAGAGGGGAGGGCGAAGGCCTGATTCTCCAGGGGGCCCGACAGTGATGGAGCCATCCAACTGCCCGGGGAGCCAGTCGCCTCTCAGAGCTGGCCCCTTCTCCTCACCCATAGCCTGGCGGCTCTGCTTCGCCCTCTGCCACCCGCCAGCGGCACTGGGCTCTTCCAGCCCTGGGCAGGGGCCATCACCAGCCACCACTCCACCAACATATACAGTTTGCAGGGCAATGCCCTCCCAAGCTCCGCCCATGGCAGACTGCCCGGGACTGTCGATGGGCTGCAGCCCACAGTATGGGAACCCCTGTGTTTAGTGGGCAAGTCTAAGGAGAGTTTAAACAAATTTAGAATCTGGCATTCAGGACCATGCAAGAACAGTCTGCTTCTCTCAGTTCTTCATTCCCCAGCTAGCTTCATGACACTTGCATTCAGGTCTACTTTGTTCCAGGGAAAGTTGCAGATATTTTCTGCTGAGTAGGGTCCAGGAGAGTGTATTGCTGAACAACTAGCTCCTACCAAGATTAAAATTTATCAGCTTATATAAATTAATAGTGGTGTCTGTGAAGTCATTACTGAATTTTCAACAAATACAGGCCAAAATTTTCAAACTTGGGTACCTAAAGCTAGGCACTTAAATAAGTGCCCGGATTTTCATACATGCTGGGCATCTTTAGAAATAGTCACATATATCATTTTTGTACATATGGATATAGGTTCCTGAATATAGAATCCTGAGTTTTTAAAGGTAGGGGCAGGGCTTTTATTCTTTTACAACTTTCTTCTATGCCACCCGTGTTACACATCATTGTCAATTTGTTAGCATCAAGGTTGCGTCTATCTGGCATGTGATTCTTATGTTGAGGAACACTTAGAAATGAAATGCTATTAAATGTGGTCTTTTTTTACTTCTTTTACCTTGCATCTTGTTGAGGTGGAGCAGGTTTCCTCCAATACAGACTCGAGCTCTGAGAATCTCCTCTCCTCACCCCACCCTTTCATATATACCCCACAGTGGTGATTCTCCTCTGCTAGAAAAGGACTAGATCAGTTTCTGACAGAACCTGAAATTTTGCTCCTTGTGTTACCTATGGAGATGGCATCACCTCTTTGGAGCTGCCCACACTCCTGCTTGCACGTAACTGGGAGTTCAAGACACACACTTGTTCTACAGTGCACTGAGCTGCAGTGCAGGGGATGCATGTATTGACAATACACGGGAAGAAGATGATTTTGCGAAAAGGCCCTAAATTAAAGACTGGAACGGTCTGCCCATTACAGATAGCCAGAATCAAGGATTGTCATTCTCTACTGAAAGCAAAACCAAACAATGCATTTATAGCAACAAGAGCTATATGTTTAAGACCTAATTTATTTTATGGATTGCAAATATAATAAGGATTTTTTTACATGATTAAGAACTGTTTCAACTGATTGCTTGAAAGCCTATTTTTGCTCTCCCTCTAATCTTTACTAAACCAATATCCATTTTTTCTCTCCGTTCAGTATACTTATTTAACTCTTTCGCCCTGCTGTCTGCCCGTGCATGTTATGGCAGCAGTTTTAAGAGGCACTGGGTACGTTCAGCCATGCTGAACATAGGCCATTTCCTGAACTTGCATGATGAATCTGGGAACATTATAGGGATTATCTTGGTTTTTTTTTTTGTCTGCAAACATATAAATGGGTTCATATAAAACTTTCCCTTATCCAACTTAGGCATATGTAATGCTTTCATCCAATAAAAGTACATGTTGTATTTCTGTTTTAAAATTGACATATGTGACAATTGTAGGGTATTTTTTTAAAGGTTTGAGCATATTTTTAAATGTGATTTTTAAAAATGGCAATAATTTTGTTTTCCAAGGAATATTTCCTATCCTTTTTTAAAGGAAAGGCTCTCAATAGGTAAATTTGTATTTTCTTACTCCATCCATGTGATTAGGGGTAATTGAGAGATCCTTTTCCTGAAAGCAGAACCACAGCAATTAAGTGCTTGACTGAAAGTGTAATATTTCTGTTTTCAGGGAATAGAACAATTGAAAAAGGAAGAGAGAAGATGGGCTAAAAAAACAAAATGGATGAACATGAAAGCAGTATTTGGCCATCCGTTCTCTATAGCATGGCTTAGCCCATTTGCTACTCCAGACCAAGGAAAGGCAGACCCATACCAGTATGTGGTCTGAAGAATTTCCACTAAAATAAAACCACATTTCAGCACTACTGTTATATAATTTTTATATGAATGTTTAAAACAAAACGTAAAACAGAAACTCTTTTTATGTCTATTAAAGGCTGTTCGTTGCAGAGAAAAAAAAAAAAAAGCCCTGTATTCTGCAATTTTAGATAATACTATGTCTCTGGTGGCTGAAGTGTCTTCTTTTTTTCTGTTTGTTTTGTTTTGTTTTGTTTAACTTTACTGGCCTTTGTTTCTATCTGCTTCCTGTATGGCATAATTAATGTGAAGGAGACCCTCTTTCTCTGTTGTGCCTGTCTCTGCTAACCGAGTAGACTGTAATGCTGTCTTTAGACTGTGAGGGTATCTGTGTAAGTGCCAACAGTGCCATCTTCCTACACAGATATCTTTGGACTTCCTAATGGTGTGTACAGCTCTGACTGGGCAGTGAGTTTCTTTCATAAAAGAGGACGTTAGCTGAGAAATAGACACTTTGCTTACTGAACATTGAAAGGTGGAAGATGAGGGTGTGATGCTGTGCAAGAGCCAATTAATAATGTGGTCACATGCAGTTAAAGTATTTAAAACAAATGTTGCCAATACCACCTTTTTTGTTTCCAGAGACAAAACTGATTCCATCTTTCTGGCATTCTTTTGTCCGCTCCCTCCCTTGTAAGTAGGAAACGTTTCCCCTCTAGGGAAAATATGGCAACTTTGGTGGAAGACTCTCTTAATTAAATGCCTTACACTTAGAGGAAAAAAGAAATTTCATTTTAAAACTCTTAGGATCATCTTGTTTGTGTATGTCTGTCTTTGATAAATAAGCTGTTGAAGTGATGCCTACTCAACAGTGTGAACATGACAACTTGCCATAAAAGCGTAGCACTGATGGTTTGTGTAGGTCTACCTGAACAATTAATTTTCTGTTCTTAGGACCCTCCATCTTTATAACTTTGTAAATCTCTTATGTTTATACATATAAATATTTTAAATTGGGAAATGTCAGTGTTAAGGAGTATGCATGCCTACTGTCATGATTGTGTGGATAGTAAACTATGTGCAGTAAATGGTTGACTGAGGGAGGGACAGAGGGCATTCCATCAAAAACAAATTCAGGTAAAACTAAATCTTATGTGACTGAAACTAATTTTTTTTGGTATCTGGGCAGGAATTTTATTATATTCTGAATCATTTTGAAAAGGGGCCGTTAGCATAGTGCCAGTGGGACCCATCAATCAATCATAAACAAAGGAAAAATGTAAATAAGCTGTAGCCATGGATTCCGATGTAACCTTTTCATTTTTTAAAAACACTTTTATTTTGGAAAATGACCTATTAGGCTGAATCGAAGCCATGGGGGAGGGAAATACGGGGAGGAAAAGGCTAGTGGATCTGTCTCACTTTGAAAGTAATGTGAATGCTGCATCTTTTCAATTCTGTCAATGCTTCCATATGGAAAACAAATGCAATAAAACTTTTCCAAAAACTGTTTCTGCTCCTTTCTTACTCTAAATGTTTGCACAATTTGTAGTGCCTCTTTAAATTTTCATCTTCAGCCAAGCTGGGAGAAGCATGAAGGTTAAGTAACTTTGGTGCTCAGTTTTAAAGTTTCAAAATTAGTTAATCAGTAATGCACTGTTAGCTATTTAACTACTTTTAGGTGGTTAAATTGCTATCATTGACTGCATCCAGAGGGTAAACAGTCCCCATATTTTCCTCTTGCATGCTGAGGCGTAAATCCACAATAGTGTTCATATCATCTCAATTTGTTGCTATAGGAATGCACACAGGATTATATGATCTCATTGTATGCTTCAATAGGAGACATTGGTGGAAGAAAGATGCCTTTAGCATGCACACAGTTCTTAAAAAAAGTCCTCTCTTTCTGCTCCTGCAACTGTCCCTTATTTTTCTTTATGATCGATCTCTACTGGGAAAGCCATTGTCATGTGTGTGTCTGAAACCCCCAGAATATGTTTACTTCTTTAATTCTAATTTGTGGTATGACAGGGGATTTGATTAGTGCTGCTGTCTAGTTAAAAATCATGGGCCAGATCCTCAGAGGGTATAAATTGGCTTAGCCCGTGGGAGCGTGGAGGTTTGTTGATTTACACCTGCTGAGACTCTGGCCCTGTAACATTTTAAAAACACAATCCAGCATGTTAATCCAGATTATGAAAACTGAAAATGAAAACACGTATTTTTGCTAAATTGGTTTACCTTTTACCATTTCTCTGACTGGCAAGTTCCAGTTCGAATTCATTTCTGCCTTTCTCATGCATTATAGAAATTATATTTACATGCCACCGCGTTGTTTACATGAGTAGCTAAAATGCCAGAACATTTCATTGGACTTAAATTTGGTAAACTTTTCTTATCCCAAATCCAAATGTTGTCAGACAATGGTTATTTTGAGGATAACTGTTGTAATTACATATAATTTAAATATTACATTGTATATTTTCTAATATAGTACACTTTTCTTTTAACTGAAATTTCAAAACACCTTTTAGAAATACCCATGGTTTTCTCTATTTCCAGAACTGTATATATATCTGACAGTGACCAATGGTCTGTCATTTTACTGGAAACCACTGCTTTAGACCATCCTGACAGCAGCACAGGTGACACCACATTAGACCAGGACACAGAGTTTTAATAGTCCAGTGATCTCCATGTCTTGAATACACATGTTAAATGGATTGCTGTGCACTGCACAATATGATTATCTGATTAACTGCACTCTAATTAGCACAACCTCTTGTTGACCTTGTGTACTGTATGACAGCCTAAATTACTAGATAATGCATGTATCAGAGGGGTAGCCGTGTTAGTCTGAATCTGTAAAAAGCAACAGAGGGTCCTGTGGCACCTTTGAGACTAACAGAAGTATTGGGAGCATAAGCTATCGTGGGTAAGAACCTCACTTCTTCAGATGCAATAATGCATGGGATCTAAAATTTAAAAAAAAAATGCTACCGAAAAGTTATAGGGCTGTTACTCCAGTTCACCATAGAAACTGTGAAAAAGGAATTAACACAATGGTGAATCAGGCCTATAGGCTCTTCTGTTTGGGAATCAGTTTAAGCAGTAGAAAAAGAGCTTGGTTTCCCATCTCTTCCCTTCCTCTTACACACACTTGCACTAGTTCTTAAAAATAAATGCCATAAACAGCAGTGAGGATAGTAAGGGTTTGGTTCTAACTCTGCAGATAGCTTCCGGGTTTGTTAGCAAACTACAGAGAACCTAAACTTGCTTCTGTGCTTTAAGCTGAAAAGTGCTTCAAGCTCACCACCTCAATAGCGCAATTGCAGGACTCCGAAGCAGACTTGCTTAGTTTCTCACGGGGACATGAACAATAGTTTTAAATTGGGCTAGAAAGGCATTGCTTTTCTGTGTGAATATTGCCTGTCTCCAGTACAGCTTGACAGAAGAACAGAAGCTGAGCACCATACTCACCAAGCAGCAATAATAGTAATGATGCCTAGGTCTGCAAGGGCTTCCTATTGGAATGTATAATATGTTGTCAAAGCTACACATTTCCTCATCCCTTCTGCAAGCTGTTTAGGCCACGGGCATTCTCAAAAGTCTTTTTTAAAATTCTGGCTTATGGACTTGTGTCAACAAATGTAAAACTTCTCTAAATAAACTCTGAAAAAGGTTCTAGTTTAATGCACAGAATTGCATGGTGGTCTTCCTCTCCTGCCTGCCTATACCAAATCTCTATTTTGAAACTACAACTGCCACTAGCTGAAAACCTATACAGTAACTCCTCACTTAACGTTGTAGTTATGTTCCTAAAAAATCCGACTTTAAGTGAAACAACGTTAAGAGAATCCAATTTCCCCATAAGAATGAATGTAAATGGGGGGGTTAGGTTCCAAGGAATATTTTTTTTTTGCCATACAGTACAGTACTATAATTGGGAGGTACTTCCGCCTTACCCCACACAGGCACAGCCCACTGGCACTGGAGACAATGAGGCAAGCAAGGAGGCTGAAGGTGCTGTAGGCTAGGAGAAGCATGTTGTGCAGCAGCAGGGGCAGCTTCCCCTACTCTACAAGCACCAAGGGCGGGGAGCTCAACCCTCAGCCTGCCCACACCACCCCTTCCCCCAAGCCCCCACCCTTAACTCACCTCTTCTCCCCCTCCTCCTCCCCCTTTACTCCACATGCCACATCCTCACTCCTCCCCCCTCCCTCCCCTGCCTCCTGCCCATGGCAATCAGCTGGCTTGCAGCGTTCAGGAGGCAGGAGCGAGGACTCGGCGTGCAGGCTCCCCCTCCCGAACGCCGCAAGCCAGCGGATTGCCGCAGGCAGGAGGGAGGTGCGCCGTGTCCTCGCTCCTCCCCCATCACTCCTGCCAGCGGCAATCCGCTGGCTTGCGACATTCAGGGGGCCGGAGAAACGAGGATGCGGTGCACCTCCTCCCTCCATCCCCTGCCTCCTGCTGGTGGCAATCAGCTGGTTTGCGGCATTTGGGAGGCAGGGGAGGGAGTGGGCGCCTGTGTGCCGAGTCCTCGCTCCTCCCCCCCGAACGCTGCAAGCCAGCTGATTGCCACAGGCAGGAGGCGGGGGGAGGAGGGGGCAGGCGCTGATCCACGGGGTCTGTCGGTGGGCGGGAGGCACTGTTGCGGGGTGTGTGTGTGTAGGGGAGCTAATAGGAGGGCTGCCAGCTGTGGACAAAGCAGGCATCCAAATGACGTTATAGCGAAGCATTGCACAACTTTCAATGGAGCATATTCTGTAATTGAGCAGGGACGTAAGATCAAAACATTAAGCAAGAGGACGTTAAATGGGGAGTTACTGTATCACATTATTTATCAGGCCTACTACTTGTAAAGTGGTGGTTACACTCTGATGATATCAAAGTAAAGCCTGAGATGATTTTTCGGCCAAGTTCTCCTGAAAGAATCTATGGATAATTATAGAGAACCAGTAGAATTATAACATCACAATAATGAGAAGAAAGTATTCTTAGTCAGACTCTGTTCCTATTTAGCTTTAGCAGAGTTCTGAGAGAAGATCTTTAATAAAGACCCAATATCTTTAATTAAGGATGGGGGAAGTTCTTACTCTAGATTTATTATTTGTTTCAGTAAATCTAGGCTGCCCATTTATGGACCAGAGCCCTGTTGTGATAGGCACTAAACAAACACACAACAAAAGGACAGTTTGTGGCCCAAAGAACTCACAATTTAAGGCTATGTCTACACTAGAGAGCTTACAGCGGTACAGCAGTACTGCTGCAGCTGCGCCACTGTAAAGTCTCCTGTGTAGCCGCTCCGTGCCGACGGGAGAGTGCTCAAACAATTAAGAATCTTTTACTGCAAGAATGGCATAGAAAATTGTTCTCCTCTGCAGATTTGTGTGTACACGCGCCAAACTTGGAAACTGAATTCAATCAGTAAAATATAAAACAAAACATTTTGCCCTGCCTTAAATGGAGATTGCAACACAGTCAGTAGTATGGCTATAGATATTATGTATGCATATGCATGCGCCCCCCCTATAGTAATGGTTGCTGATCATTGCCAGTAATAAATTATAAAAATATCTTCTTTTTTCGTCTACAGGGTATCGAGCGCCTTAAGAATCAGACGCCTACTTGGGAAAAAGTCAGAAGCTGGGAAGGGATGAAACTGGCTTTTGGTGGCGATTTCTCCCTGAGCTGGTTCAATCCTTTTTCAGGCCTGAGTTGCAAAAAGGCTCCACCCTCTGGGGTGGCAGCAGTTCCTCCACCTGAAATAGTGACTGAAGAGGCTCTTGAGCAATTCTTGGAACAAGAGGCTGCTGTCCAAGTGTTAAATGAATAAGCAAAATCCTCTCCAAAATGTCAACAAGCTCTCCGTTTTAATTAAATGTTTGCAGCCCAGATTTAGCTTTAAGGGGCCATGGTGCAGAAAACATCTGGACATATTTGTCCAGAAGTCAGGTGCAGTCCTAGTAGAAGTAATGCAAATCTCTATTGAATGCCCAACCAATGATGAAAGGTATAAGCTCTATTTCTACCATTGGAAAGGTTTTATTAAGCAAAGAGCAACTGCCCAGCTTTGCACAGTTCCCAATTGTTTGTTCAAGGAGTGACTCCTTTTTTGGCTCAACAGGCACGGATGCTGCCTTTGACTCATGAGGTTCCCAGTTCAGGTTTCAGCTGTCTTAAAGTTCAGGGCAGATACAACAGATGGGCAAATTCATCCTGGTGTAACTCCACTGACATCACTGGAATTGTGCTGGCGATAAATTTAGCCCTGTGTAACTCCAGCTACTGCCTGAGATTCTTCTATTTGAGGGCCTGATCCAATGCCCATTCAAGTCAATGGGGGCCATTCCACTGACTTCTATGGGCTTTGAATCAGGCCCTAAGTCTGCAACGGTGGCAGACACAATAGGTGAATCTGGTATATCGCTAATGTTTGGTAAATACAACAGATGAATATGTGAATCTTGGTAGCACAGTAAATCTGCCAGATCAAGTCTTCATCAGTGTGTCATGAAATTGTACTCTACTGTTAATAGCAGGATTGCTTTTAAGAAGGAAACCTGCTTAGTTACAATAGCTTCCATTAAAGAGTGTATCTGACATGCTGTAATATTGCCTTAAATGTCAATATCTTAAATATTCAGCTGTCAATTCTTGGTAGAAGTTGACTTTTTAAAGGTGACCACTATGGAATACTTTAGATACTTACACATTTGTAGTTAGTAAATGGTTACATGACAATACATGCTAGATATAAAAGTTTTATTACCAAGAGTTGAAATGGTTAAACAGCTCATGAGTGGCAAAGTCATAAATGAGTTGTATGAGCCATCCTAAAAGGAGGCCAATAAAATCTTTTATATCAAACTACATTGTCCTACACAGATTCTATATTGCAAATGAATATGAATGAAGAAAAGTTTATTTTAGGAATATTTTAGACTTTTTTTTTTTAAATGGTCTTTTTCTGTCATCTTTTCCTTGTAAAAACAGATACTTTAGTTACTGTCAATCTAATTCTATAGAACCTGGGGAAGCCATATTTTGGCCCTGCCACTGGCCTGTCAGGTGACCTTGAGCAAGTTGCTTCCCCTCTCAGTGCCTCAGTTTTTTTCTCTCTAAAACAGGAATAATGAAACATATCTCCTCTCTGAAGTGCATAGAAATCTATGGATGAAAGGCATTATGATATAAGAGGTAGGTGATATTTGTATTTATTAAAGAGATACCAGATGGAACCTGTACCAACCAACCTGATTTGAAAAATGTTCAGAATTTAAAATAAAACAAAACCCCACGGCCTTAGTGTGTTATGACTTGACACACTAAGGAGTACTGAAAAGAGACTGTCTTTGTTCCAGTCCTCTGCTGTGGGTGAGGGTCACAATAAGTTAATCCCCTTATTATCTGATGTGGGTTAGTATGCCCGGACTCTGGCAGCTGCTACAAGCAGTTTGTTGAAAAACAGGAAAACTTTTTGAGCAAATATTTCAGAAAAGTTGCCCCCCCCCCCTTTTTTTTTTTTAAATTGAGAAAATCTGAAACTTTTCTAGGTACTCTAGTCAACAGGAATTAAGAATCAGGTTTGTTCCTCAATCTACAGCTTAGTTTAAAAGAAAATCTGCTCTTCTGTATACTAAGCTGTTTTGTCATCAGAAACAAACAGAATGTCTCTTCTGTAAACTGATCAGAATATAGTTGTATCTGACTATAGTAAAGTGAGCAACTGTCACTCTTCTGCACCCAAAGTGCACTTGTATCTAGCAGTGCTTCAAAGCAAGAGAGCAAATAGGGACACTTAAGAAGCTACATGGGGAGTTAGCATGGGGGTGGGGAAGGGAATATTTAAGGAGGGAAAATAGGACTGGACCTTTTAACTCGTGTATTGTAGTTCTGGCTTGGTGTTTGGCCTTTCTGTCTTAGGCCATGTCCACACTTACAAGCTTACAGCTTGTGTAGCCGCTCTATGCTGATGGAAGAGAGCTCTCCTGTCAACATAATAAAACCAGCTCCATGAGCAGCGATAGCTATGTCAATGGGAGAGTGTCTCCCGCTGACATAGTGCTGTTCATACCAGCACTTATGCTGGCAACATTTATGTCACTTGGGGGTGTTTTTTTCACACTCTTGAGTGACAAAAGTTTTGCCGACATAAGTGCTAGTGTAGACATGGCCTTAGTTGCTCTAGCTGTAAAAAGGCGATGGCAACACTGGGTTATCTGAGGACTAATTAATGTTTGCAATGTAAATTACTTTGAAATGTTAAATCAGGGCTAATGAGGATTATTAGAATGGGAAATAGTATCTGTTTTGCTTGGGGAAAAATAGGAACAACTGGCACATGTGTGTTACGTATTTGCTGAAATAAAATGATTGCAGGAACTGTACATTAATTATTTGTTAAAATACATTTTTTTGGATAAGCCTCTGACTGTGCTGATACAAGCCATTCAGCTTTTTGAAGTCAGAGTGGTCATCATATAAAAACAGGCGTTAGTATGAGATTTCAGCTACTGTTTCTGACCTGCCTGAGAATACCAGGGGAAAGTAAAACATCCATTGACTTCAATGGTGCTAGGACTTCACCTTCTGAGACAGACTTATTTTTTCTTGGGTTTCGAAGGTGCTGCGGCTTCTTGGACATGAGCACAATCACAGCTTCTTTGGGAGTGGTGACCGTTTGAAGGGGATATATTTCTTCCCGCCCCCTTTTTTTTTTAAACCTGTTCCTGCTAAATATGAATACAGGACTCTTGTATTTTACTAGGGCTGTCAAGCAATTAAAAAAATTAATCGCTATTAATTGCACAATTTAAAAAATTAATCACGATTAGTCACACTGTTAATAATATAATACCATTTATTTAAATATTTTTGATGTTTTCTACATTTTCAAATATTTATTTCAATTACAGCACAGAATACAAAGTGTACAGTGTTCACTTTATATTTATTTTTATTACAAATATTTGCACTGTAAAAAACAAAAGAAATAGTATTAAATAGTGTAAAACTTTAGAACCTCCAAGTCCAATCAGTCCTACTTCTTCTTCAGCCAATCGCTCAGACAAACAACTTTGTTTACATTTCATAGAATCATAGGGTTGGAAGGGACCTCAGGAGGTCATCTAGTCCAACCCCCTGCTCAAAGCAGGACCAATCCCCAGACAGATTTTTGTGCCAGATCCCTAAATGGCCCCCTCAAGGATTGAACTCACAACCCTGGGTTTAGCAGGCCAATGCTCAAGCCACTGAGCTATCACTCCCCCCAAAACAATAGTAGAGCCAGGAACAGAACCAAGGTTTCCAAACTCCGGGTACAGTGCTTTAGCCACTAGACCATGCTGCCACAAGCCAAGGAGATAATGCTGGCAGCTTGTTATTTACAACGTCACCTGAAAGTGAGAACAGGTGTTCGCATGGCACTGTTTTAGCCAGTGTCTCAAGGCATTTGTGTGCCAGATGCGCTAAAGATTCATAAGTCCCTTCATGCTTCAACCACAATTCCAGGGGACATGCGTCCATGTTGATGACGGGTTCTGCTCGATAACAATCCAAAGCAGTGTGGACCACTGACACATGTTCATTTTCATTATCTGAGTCAGATGCCACCATCAGAAGGTTGATTTTCTTTTTTGGTGGTTCGGGTTCTGCAGTTTCCGCATCGGAGTGTTGCTCTTTTAAGACTTGAAAGCATGCTCCGCCACACCTCATCCCTCTCAGATTTTGGAAGGCACTTCGGATTCTTAAACCTTGGATCCAGTGCTGTGGCTATCTTTAGAAATCTCACATTGGTACCTTCTTTGTGTTTTGTCAAATCTGCAGTGAAAGTGTTCTTCTTCGAGTTCTTGTTCATGTCGATTCCCATCAGCACATACACGATGGCTGGAAGATTTTTCCCCTAGCAGCATCCGTCGGGTCGGCCTGGGCGCCTCCTGGAGTTGCACCCTCATGGCACCTAATATATAGCCCTGCCGACTCACCACCCCTTCAGTTCCTTCTTACTGCCAGTGACGGTGGCTGGAACTTCCCTTGGCTCTTGCTCAGCAAGTTTTCTATTCCGTGTATATAGTTAGTTAGTTCCTAGTAGTACTCCAGTTAATAGTTTGGTATAGTATAGTAGTTGGGGTATTTCCCCCCCCACACACACTCTGGCCCCGGCACCGTGGTATGCCACGGTTCCCGGCCAAGCGCATGCCAAAGAGTGACCCTCACTTGTCGTGTCTTTGGTGCCTGGGGGAAACCCATCAGAAAGATCATTGTAAGATCTGCCACAAGTTCCACCCAAGAACACTTAAAGAAAGGGAACAGCGGCTGAAGGTGATCCTCATGGAGGCAGCCTTACGCATCCATTCCGATCCGGTCTCGAGAGATCTGACACCTACGGTGGCGTCCTCGACGCGGAGCGCCCTGGCGCTGAGGAAGGACTCCTCCAGGGACACTCGGCACCGCCATGGCTCCTCACAGTACCCATCTGATAGTGGGCACCGCTCCCACTCGCCGGTGCCTCAAAAGAAGAAAAAGCCAGACGACTGTTCTCCTCCAGCTAAGCCTTGAGACGTGCAACCCCAGGTGGGTCACTCCTCGGCATCTCCTTCCGGGGCCATGTCGACTCCTGTCCAGGTGAGGCAGTTGACTCTGGGCCCACCTCGATCTCTGGCGCCTACGCAAAAGCTCCAGCTCCCATCCACGCCGGAAGCATACCAGGCTGCCAGAGATCTCCTCCACCTGACGGCACCGTTCTCGCCTGCCAGGGAGGAACCCTCAACGCCGACAGAGCCCTGTCCTCTGGTGCACTCTAAGGGAAAGCTGGCTATGATGTCGAGGCACTCCCCTTCGCCTTGTCCATCGGCGCCTACATGCTCCGACAGAGAGCCTACCTGCTCCCCGAGCTCTCAACGTTCGAGGCACCGAAGATCAGCTCCTCCATGGTCTTCAGTGTCTGAGACCTCTGAGTTGGAGCCCGACTCCTACCGCTCAAGTAGGAGCAGAAGCCGTAGAGCGAGGTCAGGCAGAGACAGAAGGGAGCATCAGGCGTGGCCTCTGCAATGGCAGAACCCGCCTCATTGGCCCTTCTGGACTCCCTGGGCTTATCACCAGGGCCAGGGAGGAACCCAGGACCCACGCTCACAGACATCTTCAGTCGCTTCTGCCACTTCCGTGCCACCTTCCGCTGTGAATCCACCCCTCGGTGCTTACAGTCCCAACGCCTTTGCCTCCGGCCCCGTCGTCGACTCCAGCACCGTGCTCGGCTCCAACTTCGGCACAGGCCTTCACGATGTCGATACACTCATCTCCCATGCCTGCACCATTGTCAACGTCGACCTTGATGCAGGCACCTATAGCCCCGGTGCTAATGTCTGCACAGGGCCCCCCGACTCCGGTGGCTCCTGTGAGCATGCCGACACAGCTGCCTCTGGTGAGACTGATGCTGAAGCCGATGTTTGCTATGATGCCTACTGGCCCAGCACCAGATGCACTAACAAACCTCCTCCAATGCTGCCCCGGGAGTCACCTCCAGGGCAGACAGTAGGCAGCTTCCACTACCGGCACATGCTTCCTCCTTCTTGTCGCTGGACGAAGTGTTGGCAGGGACGACCATAGCTCCTGCATTAGAGGATAACAGAGTCCTACAGCAGTTGCTCTGCAGGGCTTCCCAAGGTCTGGGCATCAAGGCCAAGGAGGTGGTAGAGGACACAGATCCCATGGTGGACATCCTAGCACCCTCGGGGCCTTCACAGGTAGCGTTACCCCTCATAAAGATGGTGGTGGACACCACTAAGACCCTGTGGCAGATGCCGGCATCCCTGCCACCCACTGCCAAATGCAATGAGCGCCAGTATTTCATCCCCTCCAGAGGCTTTGAGCATCTCTACTCCCATCTGCCTCCAGACTCACTAGTGGTCGATGCAGCTAACCAGCGGGAGAGACAGGGTTTCCAAGGTCCTTCCCCAAAGAATAGGGACGCTAAATGGCTGGACCTCGTGGGTAGAAAGGTCTACTCCACTGGTGGTTTGCAACTCCGTATTGCTAACCAGCAGGCCATTGTGAGCTGGTACTCTTATAACACCTGTGCTTCAATGGCAAAGTTCACGGAGCTCGTCCCTTCGGACTCTCGGTCAGAGTTCACCCCCTTGGTGGAAGAAGGGAAATTGGTCTCCTGCGCTTCATTGTAGGCAGCTTTAGACCCTGCAGATGCTGCCACAAGAGTCATGGCGACAGGGGTGACATGGTGCGGCGGGGGGCCTGGTTACAAGTTTCAGGGTTACCCTATGAAGTCCAACAAACAATTCAGGACCTCCCGTTTGAGGGTGAGACTCTGTTTTCAGAGAAGACGGACAAACTGCTCCACAGCCTACAAAATTCCTGAGCCACCCTCAGATCCTTGGGTTTCCATACCCCCACCACACAGCAGAAACACTTCCCCCCAACCTCCTCAAAGGTTCCAGTAGCACAACCGCCAGGACAATTCTAGGAGGAGGAACCAGAGCGGTAGGAGAAGCCAACATCCCTCCGCTAATCAAGGCCAACCCAAACTGCCCTCTGGCCCTAAACCGGCCTTTTGAAGGTGCGGTCGAGGACGGTGCACCAGACCAGAGACTGGATTCACCCTGCCTTACCTTTTCCTCCCAACTATCCCCTTTCTACCATGCATGGCCCCATATAACTTCGGACCACTGGGTGCTTCGCACGGTAGAGAGGGGATACTCCATCCAATTCTGTTCCCTCCCCTTCTCTTCCACCCCCCTTCCCCGTCCCTCTTCAGGGATCCTTCTCACGAGCAACTTCTCATTCAGGAGGTGCAGTCGCTCCTAGCACTGGGGGTGGTGGAGGAGGTTCCACTGGAGCACAGAGGCGAGGGTTTTTATTCACGTTATTTCCTAATACCGAAGGCCAAAGGTGGCCTCAGGCTTATCCTGGACCTGAGCAACCTCAACAAGTTTATGAGGAAACTCAGATTCCACATGGTCTCCCTGACCTCCATTATCCCTTCACTGGATCCAGCAGACTGGTATGCCGCCCTCAACTTGAAGGTCACGTATTTTCACATAGCAATCGCGCACAACCACAGAAAGTTCCTCAGGTTTGTGGTCAATGGTTCCCATTACCAATTTACTATCCTCCCTTTTGGCCTGTCAGCAGCACCTCGAGTCTTCACCAAGTGCATGGCAGTCGTCGCCGTCTTTCTGCAGAGACATCAGGTACGGGTGTTCCCATACCTCGACGACTGGCTGTCCAGGGCTCAGGTGGAAGCTCAGGCGGCATTCATCAGAGCCACCTTAGAGAATCTGGGCGTACTACTGAACGAGGCGAAATCGACTCTGTCCCCAATCCAGAGGTTAGAGTTTATAGGGGCGGTTCTGGACTCAACCCAAGCCAGAGCATTCCTCCTGCAGGCGAAATTCCAGGCCCTCAACGCCATGATCCAGGGACTCAGGCAGTTACCCACCACCACCGCGAGAAATTGTCTCAAACTTCTCGGCCACATGGCGGCTTGTACATACGTGGTTTGGCATGCCAGACTCAGGCTTTGGCTGCTTCACTCATGGCTTGCGTCAGTGTACAACCTGCCAGGGACAGCTTGGACAGGATCGTGACCCTGCCTCGCCCTATCCTCAACTCGCTCCTATGGTAGACGGACACTCAGCAGGTGTGCTCAGGAGTGCCCTTCGCTGCCCCACAGTCATCCCTGACGCTAGTGATGGACGAGTCAGACTTGGGGTGGGGAGTTCATCTGGGGGACCACAAGACGCAGGGCCTCTGGTCACAGACAGATCTCCGTCTTCATATCAATGTCAGGGAGCTCA